TACCAGTTCGTGCTGCTTGAGCTGATCAAGTGAGTTTGGGAGAAGGTTTCTCGTGGCTGTGTGCCGTTGGCTGTGTGCCGTTGCCAACCGTGCGTGTTGGTGTGTGGAGATTCCACAAAACTCAAGTCTAGACTCAGGGGGAGTTTAGCTCAGGATTAGGTTATCCTGAAGARTCCATGTTATTGAACAGAGCGGTAAATTAAGAAGTTGTACTTGATTTACGCGTTTGAAAATAAGTTGTATTTTCTTTCTGGTTCTAGTGGATTTGATTTCTGGACTTGGTCCCGAGGAGTAGGAAACGAACCTCGTAAAAATTCTCTTGTGTCGTTTATTTTCTGCACTAGTTATTTTGCCTCACTTGCGTTTACAGTCGATAGCTCCAATACCATCGACCTCAAAATCGATGAAGGTTCGAATCGTCATGGTAAAGTCATGCTTAAAAAGACTGGAGGGAAAGATGACTATTAACCTAGAGGTTGATAGTTCTGAAACCATTGACCTCAAGATCGATACGACCCGTCATGGTGAAGTCATGCAAATTTTTGTAAGGGCTTCGGGAGGAAAGATCATTGCCTTAGAGGTTGGGAGCTTCGACACCATTGAAAACGTCAAGACGAAGATCCATGATAAAGAAGGCATCCTGGTGGAGCAGCAGGTGCTGGTCTTTAAAGCCAAGCAGCTCGAAGACGCTCTCAGTTTAGCCGACTACAATATCCAGAAGGAGTCGACCCTTGACTTTATACGACATCTCTGAGTACTTGGTGGTTTCTAAGACTGAATTGGTGGCTAATTTGGTGTTATATCTTCGTATCTCTCTTTTCTTGTAAGACAATGTAACTATCCAAAGATTTATAAAAATATCATTTTGGATCCATTAATGAACAATAAAATTGGTTGACAAACAAAATAAACAAATATCCATGTCTATTTGTGACTTAGTGTGTAATACACTCAACTTAAGGAATCTGAATAATTTTACTGGTCATGTGTGATACAACTCAGCAAAGATCGAGAAATCAAAGTTTTTTTTTTGTTTTTCGAGAAATCAAAGTTAAAAACTTGAATAAGAAATAACAGTAGTAAAGGGATTTTAATAAATAATTGGCTTCATAGAACTTGAATTGGTAAATAAGTTGTGATGCAGCGTATCCTTAGTTCCTATTACGTTTTGGCTTTGAATTTTCTTTTATTTTAAATCTTTTCATTTTCCTAGATAACAATATTTTGGGCTTTTGTGTTTAACCTAGTTTAAGGGTTTATGTTTTCCTATAAATATAGTCGATACCTTGGTTTGTGAGGCACGACTTTTATTCATTAATCAAAGWAGCTTTTGCTTTTYTTTACTCTCTTGAATTCGGCTAGAACAAGGTTCTCAACGAGCTCAAGATCGCGTGATTCATTTGGGAATTCTCAGACTAAACAATCGACTCCGCAAACTCTATCCTTTACTACATCAAGTTGATAATATGGCCTGGTTTAGTTTTACAATTGAAAAATCTCGGATAAGAAACCGAAGAGGTAACCATTTTCTTCACAACGGTCAATTTATGATTATACTATCAATTTAGCTAATACGACGTTTTCCAAAAGCCGTCGAAAAAATAAATGAAATAATGTATGGGGAATTGTTAAACAAATAAATTTCCCCAAACCCTAAGAGTCTCATCGGACCTTTATAATCGTTTTTGGTCTCATATAC